CAGGTGCAGCCTCAAGCTTCTTCACAGCAAAATTCCGCAAAGTCCTCGACGCGAGATCTGCCACGCTATGTGGCGGTGATGGTCCTGCGAGTTTCGCTGGTGTGCACCAAACGCATGTTATGCCATTGTTTGGTCAGTTGTGGAAGTGTTCGCAGTGTGGTGGTCAGCACTCGTTGACGAGTACCGAAGTCACGGCCAAACTTCGGCAGAAGTGTGCAAAAAGGAAAGACAAGCGCAGCAAGGTCGAATAGGCAGCCTGGTAACTGAAGCAGCGCGCTTCTCCAGAGAGCTGAAGAACAGCTTGCGAGGATTCGCCCTGTGGGAAAAGTCCGCGGAAAAAAAATTGAACCTGGGTTGAACCGTGGTTGAACCCGGGTTGAAGCCAGGTTCTCAATGTTGTTGTTCTTCCCCCCCCACCCCCCGAGCCCCGGAGAGTTCCAACCCGGGTTGAACCTGCCCCCGGACCTTGCTCCTGAGCAGTGTGCGGCAGTGTGCAGAAGAGTCGTTGTGAAGACCTGATGGAGAACACCACAGTAGCTACTGACGTGAATCAAGCTTGTCACGCAACGGAAGAAGCTGGTAGTTACCCAGAGCGTGACTGTGGCCATGGCCGTGGAACCGTTGCAGGGCAGCCACAGAAATCTCAGCGAGAGTTGCTGAAGAAGGACCACGCCTACCAGATGCAAAATGTGTGTGTTGAAACCCGAAACTGGAGGGTGACAAGGCGGGTATTGCATCAACTGTTTTTCCCGCATGCCTTTCAATGCCTTCTTTACCATTGCTCTGGTAGACCGGGTGTTTGGCGTTGTGAAAGCTCTCCAACTGAATTGAGCGTGAGAACGCAAGTCCCGAGCATTGTTCCAACGTCGCAATCTAAGCCTATTTCTCCCTTCAATTTTTGTTTTGCGAAGCATAGTGCCAGTGCCATTGCCTCTTTCCCTAAGTGAGAGTTTTTGCGGATCTTTCGGGTTTAGGGTTGAGGCTGTGTAAGGCAACCGTTTCTGCTAAAGGTGAGGGTGTTCCTCGGTTCCACTTGTGACTTCTTCGCATTTGTTTAGTTTTCGTCTTTGCTCATGGAACAAATTCGGACCACATCAACCCAACAGTTAGGTTGCTGTTGAGGCTTCTAGGTTTAGGATTCAAGTTTTGGTGCTCATTGTTGCTGTGGCGGATTTAGCGCAAGCTGTTGGATAGGACATGTCGGATAAACGATCAACCTTGTCTCGGGCCCGTGATTATAGTTCTGCTTGCTCGTCTTCGTGTATTCATTCCCGTAGCTTACAAAACGGACGAGACTTTTCCAGCTTACCTCAATGATGTACAGGTATAAGGTTGCAGGAACCACTTTGCGTTCCCCGGTTCGACTACATCAACCGGTTGCGGGGTGCGCCTGCTCTTGCAGCCATCCCTGTCCTGCAGGCAATGAAGGCCATGAAGCTGGTTTTTTCCTGTGCTGCAGGGGTGGTAGCCTGGCCAGCAGGGGCTTCACTCAGTTGGCGTTGACATCCCGATGGCTTTGCTCCTTAACGGTAACGGTTGAGGTATCACTACCTTGAGAGCACCGGCCGTTCCATCAGCAGTCTGTCATACAGATCGGCGGGATTACGATCTTCACGTCCAAAAACGCAATTTCCTGAGGCCATGAAGGCGATGAATTGGCCCGTTTCAAGGTGCTAGCAAGGTCCTTAGGGCTTGGCATGATGCCGCCACAGGGCTTCGCCTGTATAGCGAAAACAGGCTTCTCTCCGTCTTTTTGTTTCCGTGTGTTATCTACCAGGCAAACACAACCTAAGAATTGCGATTCCGCAGTGCCTTGCGGCAATTCAGAACTCTACGAAGGTGTGGATTATGAAAGAAGGCTAACATGTACTTGGGGCATTAGCGAAGACATTCTCATACGCAAACAATCTTCGGGCGGATTATTATACACAAAAATCATTTCCGCATACATTAAAAGTTCATAATGTGCAAACTCTCATACCTCATGTTAAGCCTGGATGATCGTGACCTCCACTGGCGCACCTATTGCCATGTAAGCTTGCAGGACATTGGTGATAGTACCACTAGGCCACTTGGCCGCACATGAGGTTTATTCCTTGCATCCGCATGAATCCCCGCAAGCGTCATGTTTTCATGCTGTCAACCTCCACAGCCTTGCCGACAGAAACATCAGCGCAGGAACAAGGGACAGCAACATCAGCACATGGTAAACCGTGTCTCTGCTCTTCTCTTGCCGCTGTGAAACATGTCATGGGCCTTCCAGCTTTCAGATCTCTGGGGCGCAGGCTTCCTCGAAACGTTTGTACATTGCACTCCTTCACGCGACAATTCCATTTTCCCACTCCACCCTGCTTTTTGCATTATGCTGTCTTATCTGCGAAGCCATGTAAGCTGTACACATTCGCAGCTCTGCAGCGGTCTCATCGTCCGGTTCCGGCCGAGAGTGAATGTTGGATATCGATTGAACCACAGTGGTGCACAAACCTTTGCCAATGTGGTGAAGGAGCTTCGCGCAAAAGGAAAGTTGCCGAACGGAGCCAGTGTGCCTGAGTTCAGCACCACCCCTGGGCCAGATGGTGGCCCACCTGGTGGCTTTGTGGACATTGATGCTGCGTTGCTTGAGGAAGCAGACGCCGAGAACCTGGATGTAGCAGACCAGGATCAGTTTTTCACGGAGCAAAACGAAGAGGAGCCACTAGAGGATGATAGACACCACCAGGCCGTGGCAGCGGCTCGTTTAGCTCGCCAGAAGGCCTTTGAAGAAGCTGCTCAGCTGAGCGAGGAGGAGCTCAGACAGCGTGTGAGGAGATCCATCGAAGAGCTTGTGCCAGAAAGCACCGCAAATGCGGAGTCTGAAAACTCCGAGCTGACTCCGGCCCAGGTCTTCTACCTTGAGAATCGAGAGCGCTTAGTTTCGCGCGCACAGGATTATTACCTTGAGAAGCACCGGGAGCTGCAAATGCAAGACGAGCCTGGTGATGTTGAGGATGAGTGGCGTTACTACCACGATCCGGTCGTGCGCCCCCCGAAGGGCCATCTTTGGTCGACAGGTCTGGAAGATGATGGCGATCACGGCCACGAGGGTGATTGGTTGCAAGTTGTAGAGACATGGCCGAAAGGGCACCTCCCTGCGCCTGAGCTCCTTGCGAACCTGCTAAGGGCAGAACAAGCCCGTGACATTAGCATCATTGATTTGGATGAGTGTGACAGGAGAGACGTTGGAATGTATGCCATATTGGCAACAGGGATCACAGCCAGACACTGCCGCAGGCTTGGGCAGATCATGGCAAGAGCTACACAGTCATGCCAGCCGCCATTTGTGGAAGCCTTTTGCTATGGCACGCGTGATGATGAGTGGGTGGTTGCACACTGTGGTCCTATCAAGGTTCATCTGTTCACGCGTGAAACTCGCGAGCAGTACAAGCTTGAGTTGCTGTACCGAAACCCAGAAGAGTTTTTCCAGCCGGGAGACTTTCCCCACTATGTCGAGGTGTATGGCACAGCAACCGAAGCAATGCTGCTGAATGGTGGCACACACATCACTGAGTCCTTGGGATCTCGCAGCCGGTCGCAGATTCCTGCGCCTTATCGAGATTTCCTGTACGGAGATGTCATGAAGCCTGACTACGAAGCTGCGGAGGACGCGAAGTATGTAACGCCTCCGCACGGTACGATTGATGTAAGTGCGAGAATGTCGTCGCCTGCAGACAGTTGGCCTGCTTCAGAGGAGTGGGAGCTGAAAGACACTTCTTCCGAATCCTGGCCAGATCGGGATGCTGGAAACTGGCGTCCGCCGGCTGGAGCAGAGGCCGACACGGACAGCGAGGACGAGCGAGACGGAGAGGTGAGCCCGCCTGAGCATGACGACTCGCCGTTGAAGCGCTTGTAAGAAACCAAGCCACGGAAGCCCAGCAACGACGGTCTGTGTCCAGTCTGGTCTCGATGTGTATGCATCTTTGCATATAATTGGCGGGTTCGTCATTCGCGAGTTGGTCAACCAAGTAACTTGGAGTCCCCTGTTCGGTCGATCAGGTGCACAAGTTCGTATCCAAGTACTTAGTTGAGGTGATTGGCCTGGCTCGAACAAAGTACTTTTGGCGTTAGGCCATTCGGTGAATCAGTAACTTAACGAACAAAGTGCATGGACGAGTTCATCAACCAATCAACCGATCCAGGATGCCATACCTGCTTGGGAATGTCTGAGCTTGATGACGAACTCAAGAGTTTGCTTGGAGCCAGAGAATGGCTTCTTCAGCCAGTCCATCCGGGGAGAATGGCTTCTTCTGCCCCTTTTTGGGTCTATGTGCAGACATACCAAGAAGCAGTTGGTAATGACACACACACACACGCACCACATGCCCATCCATGCTGCTCATGACGTTTGGCTCAGGCTTGGCCTTTTAGTACTGCAGCCTGGCATTCCGTCACCAGGAGCTCGAAGCATCTCCAAGAAGTCTTTGTCTCCTTTCGGTCATGACTTCCGCATAGCATCAGCTTATTCGTGAATGCAGATCCACAAAGCCGTGATGCAGATGACACGGCACCTATGGCCTGCCCTGTCGCTGATCCCGGGTTTGCTTCCCATCGTTTCCGGGTTGCACATGGCTTGACACACATGAAAGACACATGGATAGGATGCTATTGTTTTCTGCATGATCAGGACTATTCAGACAGCTTGCTTGAATGCTTTCAATGTCAAGGTTGCGGATAGATGATTTCTGCCGCAGATGTGCTTGTAGCCCAGGGATGCGTTGGATCAGTCTGGGATGTGCGTCACGGACCCTTAGGAAAGCATGAGTCATCAGCCAAAGACAGTCCCTGCCTTCGGGTTTAGGCTTTGGGTTGGGGTTGGGACTGTTGGAGTGTTTTGAGTTTGCGGGCAAGGGCTGCGAGGTTAGTTGGCTGGTCCCGTTACTCGACGGTTTCCAGACCGCTAACCCCAAACACCACCACCTTTAGCTTTAGCTTCATCGTGACCATTTACGGCGCCACTACAAGTACTACAGCGACAACAACAAAATCAGCAGCAGCAACGACAACAACAACAACAACACCAGCAGCAACAACAGCAACTACTACTCCTCCTCCTCCTCCTCCTACTACTACTACTACTACTACTACTACTACTACGACGACAACTGCTACTACGGACAGTCAGAGGCTACCAACTTGTGATGTCTTTGACTGTCATCATGCACCAGGGGTTTAGGGTTTAGGTTAGGGTTTAGGGAACTCATGTGGTGGAGACGCTGCCCCCAACCAGCATCCGGCTGAGGTGACGAGTGGTGAGCCCGTCACAAAGCCAGAATCTTGGCATGCTGGTCGATGCCAGTCGTGTTGTTGAAACGAAGAGCTTAGGGTCCCCTACAACTGTTCTTGCAAGGTTGCCCTTTTTTGGGGGGGGCTTCTCCGACAAGAAGACTTGGTCAGGCCTCCTCCTGATGTGGCCGGCTTTGTTGCAGCAATTGCGCTGGATGCGCTGGAAGACGTACAGAGGCCGCAGGGAAGATTGAGGGTGTAGGGTTTGCAGGGCTTAGGACATAGGGTGTGGGGAAGAGTCATGAAGGGCAGCATGTCAATATGCGCAGAGTGCCTTTCTATCGGAGCCAGAACATATCCAGTAAATCTAGTAGATGGCTGCTGCAACGGTTCTTTTGACAGCTCTTTTTCCTTGCAGACTTGCGTTTGTACCCGGCAGGCTGGAAACTCAGATTACAGCGGACGAGAGCCGGCGGTTAACAGCCAGTGTGGAAAACTCAGTCTCCGTCGAGCGCTGTCGGTAAGGCTTGTCTACTTTGTGCGAGTGTTTCCAGGGTGCTATGGTGAGAGCACAGCACAGTGGGATCCTTCATGAGAAGCAGCTGCAAGGGCAGACCGGCAGACCGTCTCAGGATGTGGGGCCTTTGGAGATCTACTCGTACATCGACGAGTCTCTAGGATAGATTTCGCAATTTGCCGAGATCTGCGTCCTGATGCATCGTCGGAGGACTGTTGATCGACACAGCTTTGGCAGCGGTACGCCATGCGGTGGCTGCCACTGCTGGAAGCGAGCCGAATGCGGTCCTCGTGTCTGAGGACTCTGCGAAGTCGGCAAAGCTCTCGAGTCCTTCCTTTCACCGCTGGAGAAGGCATCGTTGCTGGAGCGGCAGCTCAACAACATGCTGGGGGCCCAATCCAAGGCCAGGCGCAGACTGGAACAAAGCTTGGGCAGGAACGATGTCGCCCTGATTCTCAGGAGCCACTGTTCTTTTGGCACGGTCCAAAACGATATGTGTCAGCGCAGCCAGTCCCCCACTGCAGTGACAGCCCACGGAAGAGTGTGTCACTGCTCCTCTCGGCTGGTTCGGAGATCAGGTTGCAGCGAATCTTCGGAAGGGGGCCGTGGCACGAGAAGCTCAAGGAGCCAGCCGAGCCTTCAAAGTCTCCCAATCCCGGAAGGATGTTCCTCAGATCAGTCCCTTGGCCCACGAACTTTTGAAGAAGGCTTAGACAAAAGAATGCTGTGATCAGGAGCTGGCGGCGTCGGCTTCGCCAAGCGTTTCGGCTTTGGTGGGAAAGGACCGGAAAGCTGAACTCAAGTCTTTGGCCTACAGACTGTGTTACTTCTGCGTACAACAGGTACCATGTACGCACAGGCATTTAAAGCCTGCTTGCACCTCCGCAATACGAAGGGACACTGTACCACCCATACGAGAATCAGTAACAATGATTAGAAGAACTGGGAGAGCAGACGTGACAATGACAGTGCCAATGGTTGCCTGTTCACACCCGTGACGGTCACTTGAGACAGGACACGAACGCTGTACAATCTGTTCGCAGAGGTAGCAGTGGCAGTAGCATAAACAGTAGCAGGAGTAGGAGCAGCAGTCGCAGTAGCGGTAGCAGCAGCAGCAGCAGTAGTAGTCCAGGCCGTGGTCGTGGTATGTCGTGGTCGTAGTCGTGGCCGCGGTGTTGGTCGTCGTGGTGGTCGTGGTGGTGGTGGTGGTGGTATTAATGGTAGTGGTTGTAGTTGTGGTACAGTAGTGGTGGTGGTACTGACTGGTAGTGGTGGTAGTATTGGTGGTGGCGGCGGTGGTGGCGGTCGTCGTAGTGGTAGTGGTAGTGGTAATGACTGGTAGTGGTAGTGGTGGTAGTAGTAGTAGCAGTAGCAGTAGCAGTAGCAGTAGCAGTAGCAGTAGCAGTGGCAGTAGCAGTAGCAGTAGCAGTAGCAGTAGCGCAGCAGCAGTAGCAGTAGCAGTAGCAGTAGGAGCAGGAGTAGCAATACCAGTACTAAGAGGAGAAGCAGGTGTGGGTAGGATACGCAGTCCGGATACGCAGTCCCAGTCGCAGACACATGCTTTAGCAGTGGTCGTGGTCGTGGCATCAGCCGTACCAGCAGTTGCGGCGGCGGTGGTCATAGCGATCGGGGCAGAAGCACTCGTAGCACATGTAGTAACTAGATGCAATACTTGCTTGCAGATCACTTCCCCCTTTGTTAAAACACAACTTTAATAACGCAAAAACTCTTTCGGCAAGCCCCGCTGAAATCATCCTGGGCTTTCCTTTCAAAGCTATTTTGTATATATATATATATATATACATATACATATACACACATGCACACATGCCCAGATTTCTTGTACATGTGCGTGTATGCTGAGACATAAACGATGTAATATGTTCACGGTGTGCCCAAACCCTGAATGTAAAGCTTCCACAATGGAGAACGTCAAAACCCTGTTTATGACTGTCCAGAAAACTCTTTATGTTGGGGTGATCTTCATAAAACTACTACCGACAAAGGATTTGGATTCCCGTAGGCAGTCCTGTGCCATCCGGCCAGAAGAAGCAACTCTGACATGAAATTCGGCGTTTCAACATCCTGTACAGCTAACAACGAAACCGTTGGTCGATACACTTAACCGAAGATAATTGCAGTTGAAGACACAGGTGCAGCGGTTTACCTTCTAGACCTCCTGAACAAAACTCTCCGTGTAACGTTCCAACGATCAACCCTGCCAACTCCTCCCGAGACACTACAAAGCACACGGTCGTTAGTAGGCCCAACAGCCCCAGAAACCATGCACAAGGGCAAACTAACAAAGAAGACCACACGAACACCCCAGAATAACGTCCTGGACGTCAGAACTCTTTTTTTGACATGAAAGACGCGGCGATGCCAAACATAAAGTAGAAACTTACCCACAGGGCCTGAGTTGCAAGACGCAAAGCTGTGTACTGACTGGCTCAACGGGGCATGTCTGGCACCGGACTCGGCCACTTTCCACGTATGGCTGATTTGTGTTGTGGACTCCTAAAGCCAAGAAATCAGAACCCTTCGAACACGGCAGAGTCAACACGGTCATGAGCCGTTGCCTCCGCCATGCGCTGCGAACGTGAAGTCCACAACTTACGCACTCAGCCATCCGATCTTGCACGCAGGTCCGTGCGACAAGTCGGAAGGAATGACGACCATGAGCAACAACCGCATTCTCAACAATCTGCACCCTCGTGGAAGGTCGGGGGCCATACATCCTCAGACGTCAGAACTCCCTACCAATCTAGAAACCTCCAAGCCCTAGCCCCCTAAACCCCTAAACCCCTAAACTCCTAAACCCCTAACCCCTATAAACCCCAAACCCCTAAACTCTAAACCCCTAACCCCTAAACCCCAAACCCCTAAACTCTAAATCCCTAACCCCTAAACCCCAAACCCCTAAACTCTAAATCCCTA